CTCTCTTAACGGTTTCATGCTCAACCATTTCCCCAACTAGTTTTCTTCCATCCCCTCCTATTTCCTTCAAATCCAAAACTCTAAATAAGATGGTTTGAAATATTTTTCGAAGATTTCACGTCTCTTCCATTTATTTCCACTTTGCCCTTACTCGGTTTACCGAAAAATGCAATATTTTAAATGAAATGCCAGCCTCGGAACACCGTAGAAACATTTAAAAAAATATTTTCAAAAAGAGGGTTTTAAGGTCTAAAATAGTTTTGGTCAAAAGTGGAGTGTAAGGTTGGGATTAGAAGCTTTTCTTGCTGAAGAAATCAAACATTTGTACAATGTATTTTTCATCATCGAGTGATCAACCTGAGGCGACCAAGTCTTAAGGGTGGTCAAAAATAGGGTGCCTACACATGAGGTATTTATAATTTCTTGAATATAATAGAGAAATCTATATGTTTGATAAACATTAGGAAGTACTAGCGGTTGGGCACATGTGTTGTATGTGGCATGTGATTTTTCATGAATTATTAGTACTGTAATTATGCATGTCTTTTATATTGGTATGTGATATGTATATAAAGTATGAAGACTTGTATGGGTTTATTGATCTGTATCCAAAATACAACCAAGCAAGAAATAAATACATACTCGGTTGAAGAATTTAAATGATAAATGAGAAATTTTATAAACATAAACATTAATTTATAGCTACATTGTTGATATCACAATTTTATCTTAAACAATAAACAATAAGTAGGTTTTTGAAATATATAGTACTACACAAGTCTTTTTCTATCAACTTCCCACTTCAATTTTTCATAATTCGTATCTATAATACAATTGAAGGGATGAAATTAAATGAACAATTACACAATTTTTTTTAATAGTTCATCTCATAATACAAATTCATTGAACCCACTATTACATATTATTTGCACACTATTGGTATAAGAATGCATTAATATTTATATGTAATATATTTTTATACATCAAGAGTTGTTGAGACTCGTTTCCTTTGCCATGAATATCTTGCATGATGGAAAAATATAATATTAATCATTAATATATTTTCATTTATGTAGAAAATGTGGCATAGTTTTTTAATAAAATGGAATGATATTGTAATTTAATATTTTGATTGATATATGAATTTCATAATTATTTTTAAAATACTTATAGATCCATGCTTATGAGTGTTTGTAGGGTCTCTTTCATAAAACTGCCAAGTTACATAATTTATTATGGTATCTGTAAGTAATCAGCATATATCAAAAAGTGATCGAAACTTTTTATTTGATTTACTTACTTTCTGCATCATTGAGTTGCCGCGATAATGTTTGGGCATCATTTGATTTTAAAATGTGTGCATGAGGTACATTATTTTTCTTGAAATTCACATCAAATAGGACAATTCCAACTTCAGCTCGTCTAATTTTACTTGGAGGGCATATTGCAATAGATCTTCTGTAGTTTTTATTTCACCATCTTTTTTTTTTCTCTTCTTACTCACCATTATAACTCATTGTAAAAAATATATTTTGATGAGTAAGAGTTTGAGGTGATATTATATTGGTATGAATCTCAAAAAAAAAAAAAAAAAAAAATAGTATGGAGGTGTTTTGCAAAGTCTTAGTTTATTATTGAAAGTGTTTGTTGTGAACCCTTGTTTGTATGACATGTATGTATATGCGTATTGAATATAAGTTGATAGGAAAATAATACACAATTCTATAATTTTTCCTAACAAATATAACTATATTACTAAAGCGACAAAATTTAGAAAATTAAAGAATCCGATGTAATATAGCATTACAAATTCACAATGTATGAATACAGTAACATATATAAATTTACATTTATATTTTTTTATATATTTATATATGTAGACATTACAATATATAACGTATCACAAAAGTAATATGTGAAATCTTTTGTAACAATATAATACAATAATAGTTAAATAATTGGTCATAATGTAGATGTTTAGTGTTACATTTTTGTGTGTATGCACCATTTTCAATCCTTCATCAAATGTTTCATCAACTTTAAATTTGATGAAAAATTAATTAAATTGGTCTTTCAACCATTTTATCAAATTGATATAAAAAGTAGGGAGAGTTAAATTTTTCATCAAATCAAGGGAACTTTATCCATTCATCAAATTTTGAAACGTCCTCCCAGACATCTTGTGTTCTTAAATCTCAAGAAGTGTATTTGTAATTTGGAAAACAAAAGACTCTGTTAATCAAATTTTTTATAAAATAAAAGAAAAAATAAAGAACAAACTTCGACAATCCCACATTGGTGGAGGAGAAGAGCATGAGGCATCCAAAACTCTATAGAAGCCTCAACCGTAAGACCAAGTCATCAATCTATGGTCAGAAAAAATCAAGAATTATTGAGCATGTACATAGTTTATAGACGACAACAAATTGAACAATTATAAAAATGAATGCAATGAATGCGGAGCCAGTAGACTTTTGTGCTCGTCGGATGTGCATATACATATCTAGGAACAACATTTCCATAGAGAGAGATTTGGTGCGGTGCTTCTCCACTGGTTGATTGTCCACTCTTCACTACAAGAATCTGCACTTTTGGCGACCACTTTCCGCGACCAATATAAAAGTTGGTAGGTAAAAGTTACCTTTTGGCGACCAAATATTAATTAGTCGCGAATGATCATTAATTTTGGTGACCAAATATGAGTTGGTCGCAAAAGGTCATATTTTGGTGACCAAAAAATGAGTTGGTCGCAGAAAGTGGTATGCTTTTGGCGACCAATTACAAATTTGGTCGCGGAAGGTCACATTTTGGTGACCAAAAAATAAGTTGGTCGAGGAAGATCAAAAATAAATTGGTTGTGGAATTGGCAACCAAAATTTTAGTCGTCAAAAACTTATTTTTCCCGACCAAAAATATTTTAGTTACCGTATATTGAGTTTTGGTACTAAAACAATTTAGTCACTGAATGGAAAATAAATTTTTTTTTTCTTTGGTGACCAAAAATTTGGTTGCCAAAAACTTATTTTCAGCAACCAAAAAAAAAATTAGTCGCCAAATTAGTACTCTTAGCGACTAATATTTTAGTAGCCGTTGATTGAGATTTGGCGACTAAAAAAGTTTGTCGCCGAAGGTACCTTTTCTGCGACTAATCTGGTCTTTTGGTCGCCAAAAGTTTGGGAGGGAAATTTGAAACGTGGAGGCGGGAATTGAAATTTTTTTGCAACAAAAAAATTTGGTCGCCGATTGTAAAACGACGTCGTTTTGTACCAGGAAAATATAAAAAAAATTAAAAAAAGCCCTAATCTCTCCTCTGTCTGTAGCTCGCTCTCTGTGTCTCTCTATGCTGGTCTACCCTCTCCCTCTCTCTATATTCTCTCTCTCAATTGGTGCCCACTCTCTCTAGCTCACTGAAGTTCCTCACCATCGTTGCTCACGTCCGTCCACTGCAACAAAACTAACTATTTACGGCTTTAACTTTACGGCATACATTAAATGCATGTCGTAAGTAGTACATTCTACGGCATTTTTTTTTGCAAGCCGTTAATGGTTTTTTAATAATGACATACATACCATGTAAGTTGTTAATTCATATATTTATGGCATACAAAAGTATACCGTAAAAAATGTATATTTTCACGACTTAAAAAATATGTCATAAAATATTTGTACTTGACGACATACATTTCATGTTGTAAAATATTATAACTTTACACGGCATGCATTAACATGTCGTGAAAACTTCTAAAAAAATAATAATAAATTCAATCCGATTTTTTTTATGGCATGCAAAAGTATGCCGTAAAAAATATATATTTTCACGGCATCCAAAAATATGTCGTAAAATATTTGCACTTAAAACGACATACATTTCATGTCGTAAAATATTATAACTTTACATAGCATGCATTAGCATGTTGTGAAAACTTTTATTAAAAAAAATTTCAATCCAATTATTTGTTTTTAATTTAAAAAAGCTAACAATTTCCAATCAAGCTTCTCACCTTAAATTTCCCTAATTGATGGCAACGTAAAAAATAATTTATACATTATTTTATAATTTAGTGTATTCTTTTAAGGGATAATTGCACCCAGTGAGATTTTAGGGAAAAAAAATTGCATGTTCATGAAAAAGTTTATAATTTAATTATTAATACTTATATTGCTTCTCACTGATTTGTAATTATTTTTTTTTTCAAAATTATCTTGATTTGATATTTTCCTTTCTTTTAATAATTTATTTTTTTAAAACTTTTTAGATGTGCTTAAACTGAATAAAAAGTAAAATATTTGTAAAAAATATATACAAAAAAAATATAATATATATGAAAATATAATAAATTTTATATTTTTTTGAATTTAGTGATTTTTTTTGGTAATTAAAAATATTTAGTGATTCAACCTCTCTACAATCGCCTCTCTGATTCAACGTCGACCTAGAAGCTGAAGAAGAAGAAGAGGTTAAGAATGGAGACACAATCAAAGAGGTCAAGGCCGATGTCTCTTTATTGTATACCCACTCTATGTAGGTCTCCTTTCTCACATACAACAAACACAACAAATCGACTATTTAGACAGTGCTCCATCTCCATCTCCATCTCCGTCGGCGATTGAGTCTCTCTCGCTCTAGATTCAGGTTCGTTCTTTCTCTCTCCGATCCTTGCTCTCTCTCTCTCTCTCGATCTTTCCCCCATCGAAGACACTTGCAAAGTCTCGACCTTCGTATTCTCAAGGTAATTTCTATATTTATTCTCTTTTCTGCATCGATTGAAATTTTGGAAATTGAAACCCTAGTTTCGAGTTTTTCTATGATTAGAGCTTAAATCATGTATACTTGAGTTGTTTTTCTTGTTCTTTCTCGTCATGAATTTTGTTTTTCTCTGATTTGATCCCGATTTATGGTGATTTTCTTATATTTGCTCGTTATCTCTGATCAGAACATTCCTAAGATTCACAAGGTCACAATCTTAACCACAAAGCAATGCATGTTCTCATGAAACTACATAAGATCATACTCCCTTTATCTAGACTCTGAAATTGCAAGTTTCCTTAGGAAGCTTGAAAGGTTTAATCAATGGTTGGATAAATTGGTTACAGATGGAATTGGTACCAATGCGAGAATAGAGACCTTATGGAAGAAGTTATATGGATTTCTATTGGAGCATGTTTAGTCCATCTTTGTTGTTAGTAATTATGGCTATGTTTATCTTTGAATTTTGATATACAAATTACCTTTTTCTAGCAGCATTGTCATAGCACTTATTATTTATTTCTTTTGCATCTCAGTTTATATTTCATATTGTATACCATGTCCATGAGTTAGGAGTTGGGGATTTTTCGTTGGAAATTATGAGTATGCAACATTATTTTGTTAGAGATGTTATGTAATGCATATTATGTGTGAATAGTGAGTATGAATCTGCCTTCTACACATGTTTAGTGCTTGTAAAACTCAAATAAAGTGAAACCATGAAGGGTAATGGCTGAAATTAGTTACAATGATTTGGTCTTTAATTCAAAATTTGAAAGAAATGATTTATTGAGGAGTCCATTCCAAGTTTCTAATAAATTAGTTTCTTACTTCAACAAATGGCATGCCCTAGTGAGATGCACTAACTCTTTTTTTTCTTGGCTACACTGGTGATCCTTGGTGAGGAGTTAGTGCATCTCACTAAGGCATGCCATTCGTTGTTCTCCCTCAGATTTTTGTTTTCTTATGAGGCATTTTTTGTGTTTCCTAGCTTCTTGGTTGGTGAAGGTGCACATATGTGGGCAAAATCCAAGGGTATTCCTTTGCTGGCAAGTATACCGGAGGCTGATGAGGTAAACTCTCCTAGTTTTTTGTTGTATCTATCTAAATTTCCATTTCCTTATATATCAATATTTTTTTCTTGAATATGTTGGTTTTAAATTTCTTTAGTAATCTGTTCTTTATTCTGGAATTAGTTATCATACTTGTTGTGCATCGTTTGGAAATAGTGGCTAGTTACAGAGAGGGCAAAAAGATAGTGGGAAAAATACAAATCAATGCTTGATGCTGCAAAAGTCATGAAAACAAACAATGATGGAGAACTTTCTTCTAGCACTCAAGAGAATGCTGCTGTATCAGGTACTCCATGCTATTTACATATATCATCCCTTCAACTCTAAAATTGTTAGACGTAAGTGATTCATGGGATTAACAAGTTCTAGAGAAGTAATTGCGTTATAGTCTTTTATATATCATAATGTGGATTATTCAAACAAAGTAAATAGGTTGAAACTAATAAAATTAAATGTTTAGCTTATAGGGAAAAATTTATGGATACCTGAACACCTTTTCTTTTTTTCTTTTTTTGTTAAGTGAGATAGAAGAAAAATAATGAATGGAGGATACAAAATGGTAATTATAGGGAATGCTTGGTTATATTTCAAAGTATTGATTGGATCACATCAAACTCTGTTACTTTATTGTTTTATGGTTATCTATAAGGAAAAAAACAACCGCCTTCATGTAGAAGAAGAAAAGCAAGAAAACAAAAAGGAATTCAATTTATTCTATGTAGCTGGACATTGGTGTTTTGCGGGACATTAGCATTAGTATGATCCATAGTGCCTATGACCCAGCCTAATTCCTTTATATTTAATTTGAGTTCCACTCTAGGCTTCATGTAGGTCTTTAGCTAGGCCTATCTCCAACCCCAAAAGTTGCTTATTAGGATTGGGTCAATACTCATGTTTTTAATTCCAGTTCTATTTGAGTGATTTCTTGTTTTGGTTACTTTTTTTTTTCGATATATTTTTTTATCAATCTATAACCCAATTTCCCGAATCGGGTTTTAATTCTGTTGAATTCATTTGTATTTCCATTTTTGTTTTTGGCCAAATACAAAGTTTAGTTAGTTACGTGGGTGTCACTTTCTTCAACCTTTAGTGGGTTTGTTTCGTTTTTCTCTCTTCTGTTTTTAATTATATGTTTATTTGTTTTTTGAGCTGTTTTGAAGGTCTGTTTGATTTAGTATATCTATCTTTGGTTGATTTCTTGAATTGTCTTTTAAGATTAGAATGTAATCACTTGCATAGATTTCTATTCACAGTCAAAAACTTATTGTGGCAATTATTATATGCAAAAGAAGTAAATATGTGTGGTCTGTTTGCCTTCATTGATTTCTTGGTATTTAATTTACAGTACTGAATTAAGATTTGAATCCTTTTTACTTTCTTTAGCTACTCCAGATTCCATCAATTCTGCTTCCATGGAATGAGATTTCACTGAACAATGTGAAAATTGATAGCAAATTGGTTTAAAGCAATTTAGAAAATGGCTATATATATATATATAAGTTTTGAGAGGTTTTGATTAATACTTGTAAAGCTTGCAAGATGCAATCTGTACAAAAAATCTTCTCTAATGCCTCTGGAATGTGCTTGCACTTAGCTTAAGTGAGGACAATATTGAAACACAAATTGAAATACAAAAAATTAATTATTGAAATGAAAATCACCAGAGGATGGAAGTCTCACCATTCATCATAGTCTTTATCAATACAACATAATTAACCCTCATTTTTTTTTTCTTTTCTTTTTGTGTTGTCTACCCACAATTTCTAAATATACACATTGTTTTTGGTTGTTGTTGTAGTGAATGAGGTGGCAGAGAGGTTTCATTGCTGATGTGTTGCTTTGAAATGCCTTAGAATGTATGTTTAGTTATTTTGATTTATGATGACCCTATTTGCTAATTTGATATATATATATATATATTAAATGGAATGAATGGTGCTTTTAGCATTGATCTCTCTTATAATTAAAATCAAATTGAGGAATGATTGAAGGGCGATTCAGGGGAGCAGTGAGTTGAGGGCATTAATATTAATTTACATTTATACATAATTTACATCATTTTGTATTAGTTGAGGGCGATAATATTACCAAATGAATCGAGTTTGGGCTTAACTGAATGCATTGTTCCGCCTATTTTCTAAAACCTATGCTTTTGGGACAGCTGGTGATGCAAAAATTTGATCTTTGTTCTTTTTTGTCATCAATCTTTCAAGGTCTACGAGAGATCTCTGTCAAGTTCTGGTGCTAGCCCAAATGCAGCTACTGCTCCTCAGTTTGTGAGAGCTGAAATGCTTCCAAGTGGCTATTTCATTCGGCCATGCAAGGGTGGAGGGTCAATTATCCATAAAGTTGATATGTTAGTTTGGATCAACTGCTAAGCAAGTTGATATGTTAAATCAATAAAGAATGTGAAAGGCTTCAAGTTTTGTGTCATGTTGGACTTCAAAGAGGACATAGTTTTTGAGAAGACATGCTTACTAAATTCAATTTGACTTGAATATGCCCTGTGCTGCACTACAGTTACATATTTTTATCTTTATTTTAAATGAATTCAATTATTGTTTGATGATTTAGTGAAGTTACAAGAGAAAGGAAATTTGTTAATTATTGTTCCTAATCTTTTTCTTTTTTAAATGTTATTGTTCCTTAATTGTGGTTGGGTTGAATGAATTTTTCTCGATATTGGATTGAATGTTTATAAACAAAAATTGATTATTCTAAAAAAAAAAAAAAAAGAGATTTGGCAACTAAAAAATTGGTTGGCAAATTCTACACGTTTGCGACTAAAATTATTGGTCGACAATTCCTTACCTTTTGGCGACTAAATTGTTAGTCGGCGATTCCTCAATTTTTGATGACTAATCTGTTTGGTCGTGGAATGTGACAATTGGCGACTAAGATATTTGGACGGGAAAATATCACTTTTTGCGACCAAAGCGTTTTAGCGACGAAATGGATTAGTCGCAGTAATGATATATTTAGCGACCAAAAATTTTGTCGGCAAATCCAACTTTTCCCGACCAACAAAAATTTTGGTCGCGAATTACTTTTGCCGACCCTCAATTGGCGACCGAAGTAGCGACCAAAAAATTAGTCGCGAATAATTTTTGCAGACTAAAAATGGGCTTTTAGCGACTAATTTTTTGGTCGCCAAAGGTGTTATTTCTTGTAGTGCTTCTCTTCTTTCTCCTTGTATACACGCCGGACTCTAACCTCCTTTATTTGAAAATTTTCATCATCTCCAACCACCAAAATGTTCAGTTCATCCTCGCCTTCCAATTGATTGTTAAACTTCCAGTAACTTAGCATTATCATGTCCTCATTAGTTTCTGGTTGGCCAAAGACTCATGGGCGATGGCTCTAAATCAGACTCTTGGTTTTATTACTGATAATAATATGGGCACAACCATAAAATTTTTGATTTGAAAGTGCATAAATATAACACAAACTCACGCCTTCGATTTTGAAATTAACATACGATGGCACAATAAAAGATATTGAAGATCCTATATTTTTCAAGTTGAACCAGGCTGGAACATTGCTTCTTGGAATATACACGTAGAATATATGTTTATCATGACATCCCTATGCCATAGAAAAAATAATTTAACCATTACATATTGACTATTGAGAGAGAGAGAGAGAGAGAGAGAGAGGACCTGCATGGGAAGCTTCCTTGCTTTCTCCCAGTCCCAGCTTGAAAGCATAACATTTGGGACTCCAATGAATCCCAAGGTGGAAAAGCCCAAATTCTTAATTATCTCCATGTCAACATTTTCTATGGGTCCTAACTTCAAGTAACCTAGAATCTCAACTAGATTGTCACACATATAACAGTATAGATCTGGTTTGAACATGTTTCGGGCAAATTAATTGTTATGAAAGATTATATATTCTATAGTCAATGGACGTGATTCAAAAGTTATTTTCTCCAACAATGTACATGCTACGCAATACAATTCCTTTAAATTATGTTGCACTACAAGTGATTAGAGCCTTGTGCACCCACTTAAATTGAGAATCTCATGTCTAGTAAGAACTCTAATGCAATCTGGGAGGGTACCAATTGGGTTACAACTCAAATTCAATCTCTGCAATGATGATAGGTTGCTAAGAGCCCTAGGGAAATCATCACTTGATAGATTGCACCACTCAAGATTCAAATGTATAAGGGACCAAGGTAGAAGAGCCTACGAAATGTTTAAACTTCATATTGGCTTTAATAGAGAAGGCCACATGAATGAATGCCATGGTTTGACCACCTTAGTGGTAGAGACTAATCTACTTATAGGAATTTCATTTGCATAGAGTGTTATTAAAGACTCCATAGTCCCCATCTCTATTGGCAATTGATGAAAGTAGGAGAGGGGTGTATACAAGTTGTGTAGATATACAAAAATAAGAATACAATTGAATAAACACTCCTTTTATTCAATCACAAATAAATTATACAAAATAGAGCTATCTCTCTGTTAACTCTCAAATTCTCTACTCTCTTAGAATTCTTCTTATCTGGAGACGTTATGTTTCTCCCTAGAGATTACATTTATTCTCTCACTATCTAAAACAATCACATAACCTATCTATTTATAGACCCTCAATTTGTGTACAAAACGTGTGGGCTACAGTGCTTCTTCCAAGCTAAATTTCTAACCATAGAGACGGTGGTTAAGCTTGGACAGCTTCCATGAAGTTTCATTCTCATTCTTCTATGCTATGGAAATCTCTCGCAGCTTCTTTTCTTTTTTGGAATTCACCATCTTCAAACTCAAATTCAGTTTGTCTTTCAACATCCCCTCTCAAACTCAATTTGTTGGATTCTCTACATGATGCCTCATATCTGCTCGTAGATGACCTCTTGTCTGGTTTTTGTAGTCAACCCTCTATTGACTTCTATCTCTCTTAGAACAACCACATGTTGTTCGGTACAATCAACCTCTTGTTGATATCTTCTTTCTTGCAGATATTATCTATTGTGTGGTACAACTACCTGTTGTCCACTATAGTCAACCACCTGTTGACTTATGCCTCTCCAACGTCATAGAGCAACCACCTGTTGCTTGTCTTGTCTATGATATCTGGGATGTCTTCTATCACCTTTAGATGATGTCTTATTTGTTGTATTCTTCAACTCCCACTTTGAAGAATATTTTTGCACTTCATATCTTCAAATAAAATTTGCAAATTACAGGTATGGAATTTACAAAATTTGAAATAGTTGAAAAATACTATCGGATCATCAAAATCGAATTTTAGATGGCTTAGATCAAGCCAAAACAATTTATATGGTTCAGATTAACGGTTGCAACTCAACCGCGAAGCACTAAATAATTTTTGTTGAACGTTCTACAACTTCCGAATTTTGGGAAAGATGAGTGCTATGTACGCGCTCAACTTCTCGACAACTGTATAGGTTTATTTGGAGTTCATTTGAGCCGTTTTTTATACCGTCAGAATTTTCTCGACGAATACTTCACACTAGTATACTCAAAACTGAATTTTGACAACTTCGAAAAATTTTAGTTTTCGGATGTTGCAATTATCGGTGAACTTTGGTTATTTCTTGGCACTTCTGGTTAATGGGTTTGGACTCCTCTAGTTGATACGAACCCTGTGGTATATTCAGATATTGATTTCGACACCTTTGAAATTTGGACAAATTTGAATACTCTCTGTTTCTTCTATGTTTTTCTGAGAAATAGCCCAAACTAGCTCTGATATCACTGATGAAAGTGGGCGAGGGGTGTATACCAGTTGTGTAGATATACAAAGAGAGGAGTACAATTGAATAAATATTCCTTTTATTCAATCACAAACAAATTATACAAAACAGAGCTATCTTTCTATTAACTCTCAAATTCTCTACTCTCTTATAGAATTCTCCTTATCTGGAGATATTATGTTTCTCCCTAGAGATTACATTTCTTCACCCACTCTATCTAAAACAATCACACAACCAGTCTATTTATAGACTCTCAATCCGTGTACAAAACTTGTGTGCTATAGTGCTTCTTCCAAGCTAAGTTTCTGATCATGGAGACGGTGGTCAAGCTTGGACAACTTCCATGAAGTTTCTTCCTCATTCTTCTATGTTCTGGAAATCTCTCACAGATTTTTCTCTTTTCTAGAATTCACCATCTTCAAACTCAAATTCAGTTTCTCTTTCAACAGCAATTCCTCAAGATTTGAACAACCCGAGTTGTCAAGTGATTCCAAAAATTTTAGCATCCCAATGCTTCTTGGAAGCTTCCTTAGATTTTTGTAATCTCTTAAATTTAACAAAACAAGCGTCTGAAGATGTCCAATGGATTCATGAACCTCAACCTTGCACAATTCTTAAATATCACTCTCTCGAGATTAGGGACATTTGAGAAGTTGGGAGTTTCAGTGAGGTTATAGGAATGACTAAGATCAAGGAATATTTATGAATAGAGAAACTGTGAAAGAATAAAAAGGTTGGTTATTAATGATAGTTTCAGTTTCCTACAAACTTTAGAAATTAGAAGGGAAGAAATAAAGGAAAAGAATGTACATATCTTGGTTTCTTCCCAAACTTTTTGCAACCTGCTATAACGCATATCAATAACAACTAGGCTTTCCGAAGAGAACTCGCTATGTATAGATTTGAAAGGGAATCCATGCCAACACAACCATTGTAATCCTTTAGGAAAATTTACAAACCTACCATTGACTTGTACAAAATTGAGTTGCAGAAGTTTTAGTTTTTTCATTTGTGCAAATGCATCAACTTCCAGCGCTATCAAATTTGAAATGCTTGGAATAGTGCCTACTATCTTCCAAGAGAAGATGCTAACACAATGTCTTTTAAATGAATTGCCTACATTTGACAACAATGATGTGTTACGAATTTTTCACAACGACGTTTTCCATTTACACCGAAAGTGTGATGACCGGGTGTCCTATTTGTCCTTTTTTCCCTTGTTTAACCTTCAAATTTGTCTCGTTGGGGCGTCAATTTAACTTAGGACTTGTTAAGAGTTTGGGTTTATTGTGTTCTAGAGTTTTTCTACAAGTTTTTGTTCGTGTTTATTTTGGTGCTAAATTTCTCTTGTTCCAGAGAATGCGAGGTCAGGTTCGAAGTGCCTAGAATAAAACCAGAAAATTTCTGGGCTAGAGGACCAGGGACACACGTGCGGGGCTTTGGGCCGCACGTGCGGGGAAGTGGAGAATTTGAGCCTTACACATTGCATAAAAGGCAGGTGCAGAGTGAGGTGCGGGGAGGGGCCACCGTACGTATGGAGATGAATGTCGTAAGTGTAGGAAGATGCTCCGTACGTGCGGGAGTGGGTGCCGCACGTGCGGGCCTCTAGGCAATCTGAAATCTCTATTTTTTTTTTCTCTCATTGGCTGTATGGGTATCACTTTTAGCTTAT